TAAAATGTTCCTGGATTCTGTTCAGGATGTTCATGCTGTGTTTGCTGTCGACCATGTTCACGGCCAGGCCCCTCTTGCCAAAGCGACCAGTGCGCCCAATTCGGTGTAGGTAGGTCTCATTGTCTGGGTTCCCGTCCTTGTCCACAGGAAGATCAAAGTTGATGACGACGGACACCTGTTCGACATCGATGCCTGGATGAAGAGTAGAAAACAGAGGAGTCAGACAGGAGACAAAAACCATTGTTGTCTACAGGAAGGTCAATGTAGAGAGAGAATCTAGGATGTGGCATCTCTGGGAACCACATATAAGAGAGGGCACATGTAGGCATGTAGCGGAATTTGGAGGGTAAGAACAGAACTTTTGGCAGGTGCTAGCAAAATTATGACATCAGTAAGAAAGCCTCTAGCAGACATAAGTATCTGGAGTGGGGTGTGCAGGAAGAGGAGACTCCATCCTCCACCAGTCAGATGGCTGTGGGTCTCCTGCCACCAAGTCAGGACTCCTGGCTTCTGTGTAAGTTCTTACTTAGGAAATCCAATGTCCTCCTAGAAGGCGATTTCACTCCACCAATCTCCCTCAGACCATTTGAATTTCTTTTTTCTTTTTGAAACAGAGTCTGAGTCGCCCTGGGTAGAGTTCCATTGCATCATAGCTCATAGCAACCTCAAACTCCTGGGCTCAAGCAATACTTTTGCCTCACCCTCCCGTGAGTTTTCTATTTCTCTTGCTAACAGGGCCTGGGACCCTGAGCCTGGCAGACTGAAATGCATTCTCTGCTCACCGCGGGCACACACGTTGGTGGTCACCAGAACCTTCTCTTTGCCCTCTCGGAAGCGCTCAATCACCGCAGCTCTCTGCTCCACCATCATTTCTCCACTCAGCAGGGCCACCTGGTGGCCTTCTTTTGAGAGCTCTGCTGCCAGCCAGCTAGCTGTTTTGCGGGTCTGGAGTGAAAAGAATTATTTTAAATGAAGAGACCTGTTAAACAAAACAAATGAAGATACCTACAAGAAGGTGGCTTGTCGCTATGAAAAAACATGAAGCTTCTGCTGAGTTCAGTCAGCAGGATAGGCTTTTGTTTTTATTTTTGTTTTTTTCTGAGACAGAGTCTCACTATGTCGCCCTTAGTAGACTACTGTGGCGTCACAGCTCACAGCAACTTCAAACTCTTGGGCTTAAGTGATTCTCTTGCCTCAGCCTCCCAAGTAGCTGGGATTATAGGCGCCCACCACAAAGCCTGGCTATTTTTTTGTTGCAGTTGTCATTGCTGTTTTAGCAGGCTCAGGCCGAGTTCGAACCTGCCAGCCCTGGTATATGTGGCTGGCACTCTACCCACTGAGCTATGGGCACCGAGCCAGCAGGATAGGCTTAATATTTCCCAAATAAAATTTCAGTCACCTGACTTTTTGGATAAATCACTTAATGGCTCTTAGTTTTTCTTTAGGAAGAATGTGGTTTGAGCCAAAGATCTTCATACCTAAATAGTTGATACTCTTTTTTTTTTTAAGAGATAAGGTCTCACTATATTGCCCAGGCTAACCTTGAACTCTTGGCTTCTACCTCCTCAGCAGCTGGAACTACAGGCATGTGATTCGCTTATTATTTTTGGGGATAAGAGTCTCACTCTGTTACTCAGGTTGGAGTGCCATGGTGTCAGGGTAGCTCACAGCCACCTCAAACTCCTGGGTTCAATCTTCCTGCCTCAACCTCCCAGAGTGCTAGGATTATAGGCATGGACCCTTGCACCCAGCCTGCTTGGCTTATAATCTTAATATTTAAAATGTATTTCACTGGTTGTTATTGGAGTTTTTCCTCCCTAGTCATCACTAAGTAGGATCAAAGAACGTTCAGTTCTTCACAAAGTCTTCCCCTTACAAGTCATTACAAGCAGAGGAGAATATGCTGGAGGCAGGTAAGGAGATTCAGCATTTCCTTTCTCTCCATGTCCCCCAGTGGGAACATGGTCCTCCTGGGCTCTGACTGAGGGAAGCCGGCTGAGGGGCAAGGAGCCCCAGCAGGTGTACTGCCGCTGCTGCACCTACTCACATGGCAGAAGATCATGGCTTGAGCAATCGTGATGGCCCCGTAGAGGTTACACAAGGCCTGGAACTTCTCATCTCTGCTATTGCACAGGACATAAT